ATGTGTGAAATTTCTGCTATGCACTGTTGAAGGAACTTGAAAACACATGGGGCGATTAAGAGTAAACCACAAACTGTTATTAAGGGGCCTAGCAGAGGCATTAGCCAGGCCATTATGGGAGACTGAAGCCACCCATAAGGGCCGCCTTCAGGTACTCGTGTTCTGTGGAGGTCTTTTTGTAATTTTTGCAGTTTTTTTATGCTTTGCTCTATGACCCCAGACTCATTGATATAGTAGCAGCATTCTTCTTGCAAGAAAATACAGGTTCCGCCCTTTTCTGCAGTAAGCAGATCTAAGGCTCGCCGATTTTGAAGGGTGACCTGGGCAAGGGAAGTAAGTTGTCGCTGGAGGGAAATAAGGGAGGTTGAGGTTTCTCCTAAGGTTAGGTTCGCTCTATCGTCTAATGCTGCCAATTGACTTGCTAGACTTTGAGAGCTCACTAAGCTATGGCTTAACGCTCCTGCCCCTGTGGCGGCAGCGGACACTGCAGTAACTAGACTCACTCCCACCAGTACTGGTAGAAAAACCACCCTCTTCTGTCTAGTGTTTTGATATATAGACCATTCATCTAGTGCCTATCTTACCTCAGGTTTGCTGTACAAAGTTAGTTGGGGCACTAGCATTACTGAAAAGCAGGGTCTTACCATGGTGCTGTTGATGCATTGGGTAAGCGTGCTGTTGCACCAGAAGAATCCGCCTCCTTGAAGGGAAATTGGAGTGTCTACAGTCACCCATCGTCGGCATTGGCTTCTCATTGGCCATTCTGAGACAGTGGAATGCTGAGTCAGGTAGCAGGTTAGCGGGGACGATGGCTTTTCATGCCACTCTGGGCTTATGCCGAGCTTTGGGCTCAAGGCTTGTTTTCCACATCGGTACTTTGCTTAAAGGGAGGCCACAGTCTTTTTTAGTTTACTGGTTGAGCCTAGAAAAAACTAATGGGAACTGCAGCCACCGGGGGGCGTTGGAGGGAGGTGCAGAGGAAACAATTAGACACATTGCTGAGGATATGTGAAACATTAAGAAACTGCACTGTTTCTCTAATGACTCTGGCCCAGGAAAGGTTGTGTTCCTGCTGGTCGTAGAGAGTGGGGGTAGGGGTCTGACTGGATCCTCTGTTTTAGTGCCTGTTCTGTTTTTAAAATATTACTTGATACCCGTGCCTGGGTGTTTAAGACTTCTGTGAGAGTGGGGTTTACAGTGATCCACT